TGAAAATGTAAAAGAGTAAACAGAAATTGGTGTCACAGATTGCAAAGATGCAGTAAGAGATGATGATGGTTTAGAGTGTTCAGAGTGATCCCTAGGTGTTCTAATGTTCCTATGAAAAGTCCTATCAATCTCCTGGTCTAATGGATACAAATCTCCAGGGTTTGATCGGGTCATGCACTAGATATCAACTGACTAAATTAGAAGCAAATTGAGTAAATGAAATAATAAGAACAATTTGAAATCTCTCTGCAGAATTATGCAGCAAAAGTGTATAAAAACATAGTATAATGCAGCAAAAGGAGTGCAGAAAATTGAAAGTGAGTAATTGAAAAATTGCAGCACTCGAATGAAGGAAATGATGTAGAAAATCTTGCAACAACAATGCAGAAACAGACCACAAAATTCGTATGGCTATCAACACAATACAAAAACTCAAAAAATGAAACAAATACACTAACATGCAAAACACAAAAACAGAGCACCAATCATGTTCAACATAAGTTCAGCACCAAAAATTTCCCAGCAACGGCGCCAATTTGATGGAACGAATTTCGCTACTCGTTATGCACAAAGATTGTCATTAATCCTCATCAAATATGCAAAGAAATGAATGCAATACTAGGGTGTTGTCCTAGGTCGTCTCCAAGGAATTTTTGGTTGGGAACATATATCGAACAAGTGTAAACCTATATTTTAAAGCAAGTAAATTGGGGGGAGGTTTGTCAATTTTCAGATTTTAATCAAGAGCAAAATGTAAACTAGTGAAATTCAATCAATTAAGAAGAGTAATCCCTAGTCAATCAATGAGTTCTATCCCTATTCTTTCAAACGATTCAATAATCCCCTTTTTTTCCCCTTGAATTAAGTTAATCTAACAAGTGAAAATTAACTTTAACATCCCAATTAAAATTAAGCATCTTAATGGGCTCCAATCTCTATCCCTAAGATTAAGCAATCTCAAAGATTAATCAAAATTAAGCAATTTTGGATTAGAATTTCGTTTGGCTAATTTAGGGTTCATCAAGCAATGTTTCCCTCATGCAAATTTCATTTCATTCAGAGATTGGGGTTAATAAATCCAAGGAAAGAGAGAGTAATATTGCCATTAAACCCAAGAATTCAAGAACCATATGAGTTGACTAGGAATTACAAGATAATTTAGCCCTCCATATGGATGAGCTACACAAATGAAAAACGGGAATGCAGAAACGTAAGCAACATTAAGGTAAAATCAATGAGAATCAAAGGAAAATTAGAAATTAAAACCTATAATGGATCCCTGGCTATCACCCAAGGCTCCAAAGCTTTGGCAAGAAAAATGTCCTAATTTGGCAAAGGGAATGAAAGAAAATTAAAAGTCTAAGCTCTCGTACCCTAATTCCTAAAATCTATTTATAGTGGAGGACATGTCAGCAAAGTGCCCACTTTTGCCTTTGAAAGTGTCCACTTTGGCTCTTGAGAGTGTTCACACGCATATACGTTGGTTTGCAAGTTCTCTGGAGTTGCCACTTTTTATGCTGAAAGTAGCTACTTTGGATGCACATAGCTACTATGAAAGACAATAGTGTCCACGTGCAAATTGCTTCTTAAGTGGCGTCCCTGGAGCTTTTCTGGAGTTGCTACTATAAAGGTTGAAACTGGCTACTTTAGACGCGCATAGCCACTATGAAAGGCAATAGTGTCCACGCGCAAATTGCTTCCCAAACGGTATCCCTGGAGCTTTCTGGAGTTGCTACTATGAAGGTTGAAAGTGGCTACTTTGGACCCTTTAATGCCCAGACTTGCTGTAGTTGCTACTTTTGCTCCTGAAAGTGGCTATTTTGGGGTCAACTTTCATCCAAGGGCCAAGATTTCTCAAAATTAGCTTGGGGACTCTGCAAAATTATCAAGATAATTAAAATTGCAATCTATATCTATGTAATTAAATGAAAATTAACCAAAAATTAATAAACCTATGATATTTACTCAAAATGTGATTTTTGTATTATTTACACTATCTAAGTCTATTTTTTTCTACTAAGGAGCACCAAAAAGGCAAGTAAAAATATAATAAAAAGTAGATTCATCAGACGACGGCGGTTTTTTTGTAAATTTTTATAAAAATAAAATAAAAATAAAAATATATAGTTGAATGAATGTGTATTATTCTCCTAATAGGAATATGTCAAAGAAGCAAAATTAAAAAAAAAAATACATAATAAAACTTACTTGAAGTTTTTAAACCTTTTGTTTGCCTTTTGTTCTTCCTCTTTTTCACTAACCCTCCTTTTTTTTTATATTTTTCAGAAAAATCTCCTCCTTCTGAAATTCTTGAACCCCTTTCTCATGGTTCATCTCCCCTTTTATTGCTAGGATTTTCATAAAATACCAAAAATCTAAAAATTTTCCTTTTTATGTATATGGTACATTAGTTTAAGAGTTTGGTTATTTGTAATATTTTATTTTCTTTTTAAGAATTAATTTTAATTATTTTTTCATTTTATTAAGATAAATTTCTATTTTTTCCTTAAAATCTTTTATTTTTATTTCTCTTTTGTAATATTAAAATTTAGATTATTTATTTATTTATTTATTAAAATAAAAAAATTAAATAAAAATTGCATTGTTCATAATGAATCATAAAAGAGGACTTAAATATAAATTTATCAAATTATCTAACTTGATAAGGTGTTGACAATTTAAAAAATTTCACAAATAGAGTTAGTGATAGATTGTTGACAAAAAGTCGTGGCAATCTTTCCCAAAATTGAGAATCTCCAGCAGTGTATCCTTTTAAAAAATATATCCCTCGTAAAAGAATGTTTTGAATTCAAAATTTATGAGAAAAAATAATAAGGTGGTCTTACAAATGTATTTTATAAATAATAAATATAAATATTTAATTTTTATGAATTTTTTAATTTATTACTATGCACGTAGACTATAAAGGTTTGCTACCATGACCTGATTTTAGATTTTATAGATATATTGGAATTTTAGTCGTAACAAACGAATAAACTTAGTTCACTGTTCAATGGAGCACCCGACTTGTCATTGTGTGATATTTCTTTATATGTTTTGAGTATTATGTGAATTATTGGAGAAAAAAAAAAGTAAATTCATACACATACTTGTCAGTTATATTTTATCTCAAGAAAATAAAAAAATTCTGATTTATTTTAAAACTCTCATACATTATAGTTAGAGTTAATTATGTTTTTTTTTTATTTTTATAAATATTAATATTTTATGATAAATTCTTATAAATTTTTTATTAAATTTAGTTTCTATAAAATTAAAAATTTAATATCTGTCGTTAACCTATATCTATTAAGTGTTGAGTTAGCTGACAAAGAATTAACTTAACACTACACATGGCACCACATAACAATAGGTGACATGCTACATTATTTTTTATTTTTATTTTTTATATTTAAAATTAATATTTATAAATAAATTTTTAAATATATTTTATATAATTACATAAAGATTCTTCTAATTTTCTTTTTTGCTTTTCCCTCTTCCCTCTTCTTTCCATCCTAACTAATTACAGCTATTTAATAAATATGCGATGTCACATTATTATAGAACTAAACATACTATAAATAGAAGGTTTCATAAGAAAATTGACAAACTAAAATGTATATTTTTTTACGCTTCTAATATAATAATTGAACAAAATGAATATTGTAAGTATATTTCTGTGCAAAAATATAACCTAATACTTCATAAATACAAAAAGGATAATGAAAAATATTTCAAACTTTTCTAGAATATAAAAAAGATACACCAAAATAAAAAAAAAAAAAAACTATAGATATAAGATATAAAGATAAATGAACAATTTATCATAGAAGATGCAAGAGATAAAGTACATAAACTTTATATTATCAAAATATGCAAAGTCTTTTTAATCTTTTGTGAAAAAAAGAAAAGTCAAAAATTTTAAATGCATAGAAAATCTAAATAGGATTAATGTATATATTTTTTGAAGAGACATTCTGTATCAAGAATGCTTGAAACTATTTGAACCTAAGCTTATACACTAATACTTGAGTTTATAAAATATCATTTGTAATTTATGAAGAAAAAAAAACTTAACTCATTAAATATTGATTATAGCTTTATTAATTATAAATGAATCAATATAAATGATTAGGTATTCTTATTATTTTGTACTTACAATCTTCGACATTGTCTAACTATATTTTAAATTAATTTTTTTATTTCCAATCGTAGTCTGTCTACGAAAATATTTATGAAAACATATTCAACCTTTTGTAATATTTAATCGAAAATTTTAAAGTAAATTTTTGTGCAAAAATTAAAAAAAATAATAAAATGGAGTAATGAAAAAATATTACTTTACAGGATTAAATTTATGTAACTTAGAGATATTAATAAACTTACGGAAGCTGCTTATTGCTTAAAAAAATTCTAAGAGGCGTGTCATTATAGTTATATTAGGTTCATTTTGTAAATATTTTACATATGTGCAGAAAGATTAAGTAAAATTATTATTATTGTTGTCGTTATTGTTATTATGTTTTACATATTTTTATGATATTTTATGCAGTCTTTCAATTTTATTAGTTTAAACATATTTTTAGTTTTAGTTTTAATTTTTCAAAATTCAATAAGTTTGATCTAAGTAATTTTTAAATTATGATGAAATTAAATAAAAGTTGTCCTGTGTCTATTTTTTTAAAATCACATTAAAAAGAGACAAAAAAGCCTGAAGTAATAAAATAAATAAATAAATAAATATATATATATATATAGTTATAAATATATTTAAGTTTTTTTGTCTTTTTAATTTTTGATTTTGACTTTCATTAAAACATATATTTGTTTTTAAATTATTCTTTAGTCTCAGCGTTGTTGGATGCCGATATAGTAATAGCACTGATCTGTAAGACTTAAAATGTTATTATTTGAACCATTACATATATTTATATTAAAAATTGTGAAAATAATTTCTTAATTTTAAAACAAATAATGATTTATCTCTCCGTAGAAATTAAAGCATTAAAAAGTTGTGTTATCAGCATTCATAGAACCCCACCTCTTCCGAGCGAACCTGTGGCCTTGGTCTCTCCACTCTCTGCCATGGCAGTGTGCATGAGTTTCAACCTAGCAACAGCTTTCAAAGGCCTTTCCATGTCTTCTTCCTCTTCCTTCTTCGCTGGCAGCTCTCTCCGTGCGGCTCCCTCAACGTTGGTGTCTCTCCCTCCGAGGTGCCCCCTGACCATTCAGAACGCACACAAGAAAGGCGCGGGCAGCACCAAGAATGGCCGTGACTCTCAGAGCAAACGCCTCGGAGTCAAAATTTACGGTGACCAAGTCGCCAAACCCGGTTCCATCATCGTTCGCCAGCGCGGAACAAAGGTGAATACTGTGGAGTTAAGGTGTATGAAATGCTAAGCAGGTGTTTGTTATAAGTTAAGGTGTATGCTTTATGTTATCATGATCACTGTGATTAGGAATGTCGTTTTTTTTATTTTATTTTATTTATGAATTGGAAATAACAAAACTTAGGTGTTTTCTAATTTGATGTTCTTTCTTCAAGATTGGAATTGTATTTCAGTAACTTGCTTAATGAATGTCGCAATTTGTTACTAAGGTTAAGCTCTAATTTTAATTTTAATTTGTTACTAAGGTACTGAATTTAAGTTTTGTCCAATTTGGAAAACACGTTTGATTAGCATTTAATATTTATAACATTGTTATTCAAAATTGAATATACGGGTGAAAGAATGTAGTAGAATGAAATGGGGTGGGAGTTGTTGGGTTATAAGTTAACAGTTTCGTGTTCGAATTTTCAAATGCTGAAGGGAGCTTGATAGTTTGTGCCGTCTTTTGGATTATGGCCAAGATTTATGCTTTTGTGATTTAATGAGTGTATGTTTTATTGAAACTGTAAAATACATCATCGCTGAATAGGTGCAAAATGAGTGCAAAATTTGTCATGCATTGGTAATCACAATGAGTGCAAAATGGAAAAAGAATGAATAAGGGGCAGTCTACAATCAATCTATGCCTTTGTCACAATAGTTTTTCATACATTCTGTAGAGTCTATAGTGCCTTGCTCAATGTTTCTATTTTCTAATTGTCTTTCTTTGCAAAATAAAGTTTCATGCAGGAAAGAATGTGGGGCTTGGCAAAGACTATACCATCTTCTCCTTGATTGATGGAGTTGTAAAATTTGAGAAATACGGACCTGACAGGAAAAAGGTTAAATACAATTATGTACAGCTTGATTTATATGGCCTACAATCCTAGAGAGTACAAATAAGCGAACTATAAAAGTTGTATTGTTACAGGTGAGTGTTTACCCACGAGAAGTACAGCCTGAGAACCCCAACAGCTATAGAGCAAGGAAGAGAGAGTATTTCAGGATGAGGCGTGAACGCAAGAAGGCTAAACAAGCAGCAGCAATACTTCAATCCCAGCTGGTTCTGGCTTCTGCTGATGATGCAGCTATCACTAATCCAATGTGCTGATTTTGTTACAATCGCTTCAATGTGTAAAATCCCTCTGTCCCAATTTTTCTGCTTTTGTTATCTGTCAAACCATTAGCATTGTATTGAGTTCTACGGAAGTAGCATGGCATAAGATGATTGTCTCTGTTTTCTTGGCGAGGAAATTGAACCATCCACGGTAAAAAAATCATTCATTATTGCGTCCCTAAACAAATTACAGATTCCTTTAAAATTTGTTTTCTTCTATAGTTTTCCATTTGATTAATGAAATAATTTCTTGGTTAATAAGTTCACACATTTCACTATCACATGCTATCTCCAGTTGATGTTTCATTTGACCAAGTTTCTAATCTTTGGTCTTTATTAGTGCGACATGTCGCATGCTAAGCCAGAAGATTTCACTAGTTATGTTTTATTTGTCTTAATGATGAAAAATTCTTGGAGCTGAAATATGGCTAAACAAAAATAGAAATGAAAACCACATATATCTTTTCTTGAAAGGTTTATATATATTCTTTGGTGTTTAAATTAATTAGTTGAAAGGCATGTATGTGGATAAATTTTAGTCTGGATTGGAGACTAACTCAAAAAAATACCCTTAGTCAAACTCAAAGGAGCGGTTTTACTGAAAAATATAGGAAGATATTGGAAGATCACGCAAGCAGCCAGTTCTTACATATGAAGAGATAGTACATTAGTTTCTTTTCTTTTTTATCATTGTTTTTGCGTCAACAACTAATTAGTTTTACAGCAGAAGAATAGTCAACTCAAAACAGTGTGCTCTTAAAAACCGAAGACCGGCTCAAAATTGTTAAAAGACAAGATTTAGGTCCAATACTATAGGTGTGATTTTGTTAAATAACATAACTAAGTTAATTTAGGGATTTTAATTAAAACCTGAATAAATAGAATGAACAATATAGTAAAACACATTTTGTTAACTTTGTTAATTCTAATATTTCTAAAAGAAAAAAAAAAAAAAACACCGTTAGCCTAATTAGCGACTACATTTTGTAACTGGATTATTGGACTACTGTTATGCAACTGGACATATTTTGATATGCGAGTCCATTGATTGGTTCAAGATGTGTAGAACATATAATAGTATACCTTAGTGAAGACTCCAACCAGGTGTGCTTTTTCTTGTGAACTCTGTTAAGCCTAATAAGATTAGCAATAATTTTTGCAACTGAATTATTAGAATATTGTAATGCACCTGGACAGAGTATTTTGTTATGTGAATACTGTGATTGGTTGTGGATGATGAGTACCACAGACACTTATCGTTTTCTTTGTTTCTAATACCAAAATGCGCCTTTTAAGTCACCTTTTAAGTTAAATATCATGACCCTCACATTTAAAAGATACTAATTCAGTTGGTCCTACAACTGCTAAATAGAAAATAAGAATTCCAATACGTATATGCGTAATAAATAGTGAATGGTCCATGTGCAATATGTAGAATTTAAAACAAATACCTGCAAAGTGTTAGATTATTTTAATAATCTTATTATAATAACTTATGTAAATTATGGCATGACTTTAATTAATGATTTAATGTGATGGTGGTTAAATATAAAATATAAAGTCATTGAAAGTATAATTATAAATACAATTATAAGGAAAGTTTCCTGTTTCCTTTCAGATAAATAAAAGAGCGATTATCAAATAGAGGTTACGGCGTCAATGACATCAAAGAGAGAGGTAACATCAAGGAACAATAGATTCAAGTTAGTGCTATTTAAACCCTTAATTGTATGAGAACAACGTAATTCAAGTACAAAGAAAAATAGTAATTTCATAATAGTTGTATCAAATAAAAATTACATAATAGAATCAAGAAAATTCTAACAGTTGGTATCAGAGTAAGGTTGTGAAATTTCGTTGATTCTCCATAAAAGATTGGTTCTTTATTAAAGTTTTTCATAAATTGCATGAACCCTAGATATTTTATATGATAGATAGACATAATTTTGATATTAAATAATCGTTTTGGATTCAATAATTGAAAATCTTAAGGTCTTGGAAGTTAGAAATATTAGGTTTTGAATTTATAATATGAGCAGGGCTATGTATGGACCATGTATCAGTGAGCAGGGCCATGCATCAGGGAGTAGGGCCACGCATTAGGAACAAGCACGACTATGCTTCAACGAAGCACGAGCCTTGCATAATGAAAGCACGTTCATGCATCAATTATAAGCACATCCATGTTTCAAGAAACAGGGGCATGCATCAAAAATGAAGCATGACCATGTATTAAGTAAAAACACAGCTGTGCATAGTGATTTCATGACAGAATAAGGAATATAATTCATAAAATTTATAGATTATTTTAGAATTATATCAAAGTGGATTTTACTTACCAAAATGATTAAATTCTCAAGTCAATTAATTCTAAGTTGTATGATCATAATGAAAGTCTCACAATTTAATGCCTAATTTTAAAGATAGCTTGTTAGTCACCAAAGTGACTTAACTTTAAAAGTTTGTTTAAGCATTTAAAAGCAAAGGGATCAAAATCGGATGGATAGCTATAGAACAAGAGTACAAGGGAAACAGGTTACCTACTCTTAACGGTCAAAGCGAACCTTTTCATTCTAAATTCTTGTCATTACATTTGTAAATTGCATCTCATGTAATTATTTATCATCAATCCGTGTGTAGGGGATGTGGGAAATCTTACTCTAATTCTCCCCTCTATGTTTCTAGCACTGTATTTAAGAAACACAGTCGCCCCAAATGTTGAAAGCAGAGAGACGTGATAAAAATTTAGGACAGCAACAAATATCCAAAAATTCAAGATAAGTGAGACTTAGATTATTGACATATGAGAGTTCCCTTGTCTTGTGCCATATTTTTTATTATTATTATACTTTGGTTGTTTAAAACCCTTTTAAACCACTTAAAACTAAAAAGAAATTGTGAATAAGCTTCTAAGTCGTTCAAATCACAAGCGTAACGTAAATTTTGGCCCCTAGCAACATGATCTATGGCCATTATGAGTTCTACTACCATTAATGGAACTTTCTGATTTTCAGTAGTGATATTTTCTCTTCATGTCCATACATCACAGCCTTGGCCAAGTATACTAGCATTCAACGAGTCTTCTAGGGGTTCAGATTCCTCTCCTTTTAGCACCAATTTACTTTTAAATTTTTCTAACTCCTTATGTGCATATAAAACATAAAATATAATAGTCATCTAAATAAAGAAATTACATAATAAATCTCAATGAAATACATAATTATGCAACATTTAAATTTAATTTATACTCAAATAATACGTTAAATACAATCATCAATATTTAAAATTATAAAACGTATGTACATAATCGTTTCATCCCATGGATGCACTAGTAACCAATTTGAAAAACAAAATACACCTTGGGATTGATGTTGACGTGGAGCTAGAATGATTATGGATGGAATGAAAGGGATATCTTGAGAGGCCATGGCGTACAGGGTTTCCTAATTTATTCATCAATTGAGCTTTCTTATGCTCTTTCATATCCTTTTTCTCTCGCTAAAATATTTTTGTTGTATTTTTCTTCTCCTGCCCATTCTTATATATATATATATATATATATATATATAAAAGCAAACTAGGAGTGTTTGATTGGGTCGTTTGTTAAATGCAACAATTTAAGCGGTCACCGTAACGTTTCCTCTCTAAACAAGTAAAGGTGCGATTGAGAATTGAAGTTTAGAAAGAAAAAAAAAAGAAGATAAATATTTAATTTCTAATTAAAAGAATTATATATTTATAAAAAATTTAAAAAAGTATCTTAAATATATGTTAATTTGTTATTTTATTTTTAATTTAAAAATTATTTGATAAGAAAATATTTATAAGAAATAAAAATGTTTTTTTTTTCTCTTCATTCACTTTTGAAAAATGACCACTAGACACATTCTTAATGTTCAATTTGTTATTGCTTTTCACACTATCCATTTTTTATTTAACAACTTTTTAAAAGTTTATCTCATGATTGATAATATGTATCTCACGAAAATTAAAAATGTATCTCCTCTACACATAGACAATTCATTTGTATTAGTATCTTACATCGTATTTAAAATCACATTATAAATTTTTCTACACTAAATTTTGAGAAAATTACTGTAACTCCCTTCCAAGTTTGTAGAATTCTATTTCATCCCAATTTTCGATCAAAATTTCATTCCACACGCACAGGTAAATTTAGACACGCACACACATGTAAGTGTATGATTATATTTAATTAAAATATGACTAATAATAACATTATATGAAAATTAACAAATAAATTATAAGAGTTAAATATATAATTCTCTCACGCAAAAGCTCAATTTTACAAACCTCAATATGCACGTGTGATACTTTAAAAGAATACCAATAGTAAAACGTTCATTAAATAGTAAAATAATTTAACAATAAATGAAATAATTTTTTAAATAGAAAATTATTCATTATTTTTATATTTTTAAATCATAATACAGCCGCTCATATTTTCTTCTTGCATTTAACTAATTTGAACTAAATTTGGAAAGAAATAGCGGGAGAGGAATACTTTTCAACGCGAAAAGAATTCGAAATGATATAAGAAAATAAAACTGGTTTATTTTACTCGTGATTTAAAGAAAATGTACCCAACAGGATGCTTGATAACAAAAGAAAAATGACTCATTGGCTTAATTATTTACTAAATTAAGCATAAGTAATTCAAAGGCGGCACCCGAGAACTATCACAGGAGCAGTGGCCAGTGAATCCCTCCTGTTGATGGCACGAGTAAATAATATGAGCGTACCTGCGCCTTTCATTTCCTTCAAAACAGAAATCAAGAGCTGAAAATTAAAAATTACGTGGCTTTAGGATTTTAATGAAATGTGATTTACTAACTCTCGTTTAACCCCCTTATCTCCAACGATTCTGTTCAGTATTTTTCCATCAAATCCACTCCATCTCGTTCTTCTACTCTCTTGTCGCTCAGGGGAAGCATGGGTTTGACAGTACGATTTGTGGTCATGACTCATGACCGCAATTGGGTTGCACAAATTAGAAGAACCAAGGGCGTGGCCATGACAATGCACGAATATATGAAAAACTAATAAGAAATCTATCCAAAAATATAATTTGATTTTGCACCTAGATCAAAGAACTCAATGGGCGTAGGTCAAGGGCATTTACTGCTTAATCAGAAATCCAAGGCAGAAGAGTATGCTGTAAAAAACAATAAAGGGAGAACTACTCTCGATAATATTATTATTAGTCATTTTTAATTAAATATAATCATACACTTACATCTTTAATTAAATATAATCAGCTGAGAGGATCCAACCCATCGATGAAAAGTTTCGGGTTGGATTTAAAGCAATGGATGAAAATACCAAACCACTTTTTTTCTCAGAATATATTGATTTTGAATTCAACCATCTAACACGTCAAATATGTCATCCAATTCTGTGGATTTCAACGAACAAATTTACTAGATAGAAATACTTGAAAAACAGATGAAGAGTCTGCATAGAGCCAATGAAAGCTAATAGTATCAAAAAACCATAATGTAAAACAAAATTCTACGAGGATTTGTCATATTTGTCACCTTCCAGAAATCAGATCTACTAATTAACAAGGTAACACTTTCCTTCAATAAAAACTGAAAATCAAAGCTCACATTCCAGTAAATGCCTTCTTTGCCCCACTAGAAGATCCAGCTGGGATCACTTTCAACACGTTGAACCTCACTGTCTTTGAGAGTGGCCTACAGAAGAGGGACAAAAATGAAATCAACAGATAACTAAATCTATATAATATGATCTTCAGGTTAACACAAAATTTTCTCTTACAGAGTCTCACCTGCATTGACCAATAATAACATGATCTCCTTCCTTCACACGGAAGCAAGGAGATATATGAGCAGCAATATTTGAGTGCCTCTTCTCGTATCTAAATATAAAATGTAAAAACAAAAGAAATTACATTCATGTTCATCCATAAGATCCACACATCAAATTATGACAGGTAAATACCTCTGATACTTCTTGATAAAATGAAGATAATTCCTCCTAACAATTATAGTCCTTGTCATCTTAGCACTGTGACATGTTCCAGCTAAGATACGGCCTCTAATTGAAACAGTGCCAGTAAAGGGGCATTTCTTGTCAATATAGGTCCCTGTATTGGGAAAAGAATTAAATCAAAAGCTCTGGTATAAAAACAGTAATTAACAAATATACAGAGGGATATGAAGTGATACATGTACATAAAGAAAATGACACAAGTAATGCCAGAAAGAGTTTAGCTATCACCCTCTCACCACCAAAATTTGGATTTAAAATTACATGCACACATTTCTCCATTCGCTAGATTACAATCATTTCCGAACATCAAACAATATTTGCAAGATACAATACCAAACTATCAACATTTTTTAAGAGAAAACTAGCATACACAGACATTCCTTGATTGCTATAAATAAAATTTTTCGCTTAAAACAGATCTCTGACTTGGAGTTGAAATGCTCATTTAAGAACCATTTAAATAACACACCATACACTCCAACGTATCAGTTAATAGACATCAACTAAAAGAACCCTTTATCTTTCACCACTTCATATTTAATTTATAAACATAAACCCTCAATATTCAACATTTATTATAATTTTAATATGAAATACAAATCCACAACAATAACCAAATAGATTCACCTTGCACAAATTTGAATAAAACAGCATTTTATAAAAGAAAGTGGAGGTGAGAGAGACACATACCTTCAATGGCTTCCCTGGGAGTCTTAAATCCAAGACCAATGGATTTCCAAAAGCGGTTTCCACCTTTTCCAGGTCTCTTACCCTTCCCAGATTTCTTCGAGCTGTGAAAGTGAACAAAACAACAAACTATTCAGCACCAACAACACAGTAGATAAAAAAAATTAAGCATTTATTTCGTGCATTTAGTTAATATACCTTAGAAACACTTTCGGTTGCTTCAGAAAAGCCTTCTCAGTCTGCAACGCAAATTTTATGACAAGAAAAACACTAAAGAGAATCAATGGAAGATCCAAAAGAGGCCTAAGCACTACGATGAACGAAATACGAAAGATTTCATACTTGTTCAGCCATGGTAAAGGGAGCTCTCGGCGAATGTTGCAGAGGAGAGTATTTGGGGAGCCGCACTCAAAAACCCTAACCACGTCTCTCACTAAGTTCAGGCGCAAGTTTTGCTGCTTTTATGTTGGTTTCAACTTTTGGGCTTTAAAAACGAGCTGCTAGTTCACTAAGCCCAGTTATAAGGGCTTCGCTATTTTTTGACAAAAAAATATGTTAACGGTTAATAAAAAAAATATTGATAATTGTTTCTTCTAGGAACAATGATATGCAACTTGTTAATGGTCTTCTGTTTGCTAGAGATTAAGAATGAATTATTTATTGACAAATAAAAATTTATTTTTAATATTTTTTAAAATTAATAAAATATAATAAATTTAAAGATAAATTTAATGTAATATGAATTTAATTTATTGATAATAAATAAATAAAATAAGTGATATCTAATTTTAATATTATATTACATGTCTTTTTAAATTATTCTAACTTATTTAAGTTAGTTGTATGCAAATGTGATTAGATGAACAAGAGGGTCCAAGTCTTAAGAAAAATAAAACTAATAATAAATAGATCTATAAAAAGAGATTTCTGCACCCTCTTGCCAAAAAAACACGACAACTTAAGGAAGAGAAAGACAAGATATGTAAGCTTATATTTAGTTAATGTGAATAATTTGCCAATCAATTACTTATTGAAATGATTTTTCTAAAAATATAAGAGAAATAATAATTAATTTCTATTTTAAAGTTAAACTATACGAAGGATTATTGTATAATATTCTGATATTAGGGAAGCGTTAAGTAAGATAATGACTAGTTGGGATACACTTTCAATTCACACTTATTTAAAGTCATTACTCTAAGATGTTTAAAGTATAAAAAAAAATACCTCATAACTTTGTTATTAAAAAAAAAAAGAATAGTCAATACAAAATTAGATGAATATTGCATTTGACTTTTGTGGTCTCAAATGGTTTAAGTATAATTTATTTTGACGTTCATTAAATAAATGTTCTTCATCATGTAATAATAAACATATGCTTATTCTATTTGTCACACTGAGTAAATTCTCTATCACATTAATTCTTTTCTGAAAATGAACAAGAATCAATCATTCTTATTAGATGCAAATGTTTAACTTGATTATTTTGTATTATAATCTTGTGCATTCATAACATCAATATTGTTATATAATTAAAATTTTCTAACAAAACTGTATTCAACTATAAAAACTTTTATTTTGAGTCTCTCTTTGACAAGAAGACTTTGAATAAAATTATCTTTTCAGCATAAAAAGAATACACATAAAAAATATAAATATTTATATCATAGAAAATAGATATTTTATGAGATTAGCATACAAAATTATTTATTGATAAAATATACTACAAAAATTATTAAAAATTATATTTTTAATAAAAAATTATTTACTATTTTTATATCATTTAATTAGCATAATATAATACAATTATTGCATGACTGATACAAGAATATAATTTTTTAAATGTATTAAAATTTATATATGATACAAAGAATGTAATAATTTAAAATTTTCTAAAATATACAATACAAAATTACATAAATACTTATTTGTATTATAAAAGTATATTTTTATATTATTGATGATAATTATATCATGTATATGAAGTGAAAATATTTAATTATTATGAAAATGAAAATAATAAATATATATCATTAAATTTTATTTTTTAAAAATTTCTACTCTATTATTAATTTGAATTTTGACATAGAATTTATTTTTATTATTATTATTCTCACATATTTCATGTGGTTAAAGGTTAGTATTTTGATTGATTTTTATAGTATATATCATGTGATACATTATATGTTACTGATGATTAAGTCAAAAGAATCTGTTCTAATTACATTATCAAGACTGTTAAAAACAATATCCCCTTAGGTCATGACATAGGAAAAGAATTTCATCTCTTATCGAAACATCCGGTGAATGAGCATATGAAAAAATACAAATACCTCCACATAGGATGTGTTCAAGTAGCTATAAAACCTCTAATAAACATGGGTATAGACGCCACTATCTTGATGTGTCTTAGAGATATTAGACATAATAGATTTGAAGATTCTCATATAAGTATAGTAGAAATCAGTCTCGGGTAAGGTCCTGTTTACTTCAACTGTTACCCAAACAAAATAGTGAATCTTGTGGATAGAAATATTCTAAACTTTTTGTTCCTCAATATTCACTTTCATAGTTTAGACATGAAAAAGGGATCAATTCCTGCAGCACTAATCTATAAGATTCAGTATAAGGTCATGAACTATTGTGCATCTAGAGTCCTTCTAAAATTCCAAAAAGGCAAAACTACCCTGTTTATCACAAATATGACTAGGGCCAACGTATCCCTTCCTAGGACAATCAAGTGGGATGAAGTTACTCTCCCAGAGAAGTGGGTTATAGATAAGGCTACACCTTTTGTTCCCAGACCTGCTCTTCAAATCTAAGAAATCTCTCAAGATAATTCTGAAAAAGTTGAAATAACTTTTAATAGGAGAAATTCTTTCTCCTCTAGGATAGAAGCTTTCAATAGACAATCAGATTTTGTCTCTGTGAGGAGATCTTTCTCTTCCAGATCCCAAACCTTTAGGTTTAAAATACTCAGATTTGTATCACATGTTCCCTCTCACATAAACTTACAAGGATTAGATACCTCTTCTAGTATCCCTAGAACAAATTATCAAATCGATAAGGAAGAAAAAAATCATAGTATCCAATCTCCAACCTTTTTCTTCCGTAATGAGTCTTATGATATTATCTCGTAAATTTGTTATTGATAAGGAAACCCTTAAGAAATAATTTTATTCTGAGAATTGGAAACCTCAGAGAGTGATTTTTCCAGAATTACAATGGTAGCAATAAAAAGGATATTTAAGAGAAATTTTACAAATTTCTCAAAAAGGTTAAACAAAATATTCCTTTCTTTGATTGGTTTCATATGTATACCATAAAAAAAAATTAGAATATCATTGGCAGGTAGATATTATTAGCAATCCTACCGTTAATGTTATCTCCTGGCAGATCAAAAATGGACAAATAGTCCAGAGTGAACTGCCTCTTTCAACTCAATACCAATTGCCTAAAATAAAAGATAATAGTGGCAATCCAATAATGGCAACACCATTCAAAACCAAAAATCCAGATGAGTTAATCTCTTTGAGTGATATCAAAGGCCTCATGGAAGAAGCCAGTTATACCAATAAGTATCTCCAAGTTTTATGAGACAAAATTAGTAAAGACAAGATCTTAATTGCTCCCGTTAAACAAAAGGATGAGGAAGCATCTTCCTTTTCTCAAATCCAACTAGAAAAACCTATGTTCAAATCATTCAAAATTAGTGTCAAAGCCAAACAGAAAATCTTAGAGCTTAAACAAAATAGTAGACCCAAACCTCTTGAAGAATCAGGAGAACAGAGCGAAATATTAAGTAAAATTAATAATTTGCTAAAAAATGTCCCAGAAACACCCCAATCCTTTGAAGAGTCTAGTGTTAGACCAAAAACTATGTCTCTTTCCAAAACTGTCAATGTTATCAGTAATCATAATTCAGAACCACCTTTCGAAGCAAATTCAGTTTTTAATCTAGAAGTTAATCTGGTTATTACTACAAGTAAGAACTGGAAATCTCCTTCAAAGCTTTATTACAATACGGCTATTGCTCCAGATTTTCTTATAGAAGAACAAAACAACCACAATTTCAAGAGTTTTGGTGCTAATAACATCTATGAGTGGAATATAGATAGGAAAATAAAGTATAATATTATGAATACTCTGCAGCATATGTCAATGGTAGCCATTGCTTACCAGACCTCCTATGACTGCACTAAAGAAACCATAGTCAATATTTTGGTAGCTGATTTTTCAGGTCAACTTAAAGGATTGTAGAATAATTATCTAACTGAATAAGAGAAAAATAAAATTATGTCTGCCGTCAAACCTAATGTTAAGGGAAAAGCCATCATGGATGATGAAGGTCAAATCCTTGATGCTGTTAATACTCTTTTGTTTACTATTAGCCAACATTTCATAGGAGATCCATCTTTATCAAAAGATAGATCGGTTAAATTACTGTCCAATCTTAAGTATAAAACCTTAAACGACTTTAGGTGGTATAAAGACACCTTCTTGTCTAGAGTTTTCACTAGAGAAGACAGTCAACAATGGTTCTGGAAAGAAAATTTTCTAGCTGGTCTCCCTAAATCTTTTGGAGATAAAGTTAGAGACAAACTCCGTAGCCATTTTGTTAATGGAAAAATTCCTTATGATGGTCTTAGTTATGGTCAGTTAATTTCTTTAGTCTAGAAAATGGCCTTAAAAATTTGTCAAGATAACAAAATCCAGAGACAATTAGCTAAAGAGAAAGCCTAAAAAAAAAGAATTAGGATTTTTCTATGAGCAATTTGGGCTACCTTCCTGTCCAACCTAAAAAAAGAAACATTACTCTAAAAAAGAGGTAGAAACCTGATAAAAGAAAATACTATTGAAAAACTTCTAGGAAACTTGGTGAGGATAATATCTCTAAAAACATTTCTAGAAAACCAAGAACAGGAGTCACCTGTTACAATTGTGATAAACTCGACCATATCAGTAAATACTATATGCTTAAGAAAAAGATTAGTAATCTTAACCTTGATCCTTCCATAGAAGACCAAATCAATAACCTACCCATAAAAACTTCAGATGGTGAATTTTTTAAAGAGTCTAGTAAGGATATCAACCAAATCTAACAAGATGATCAAATCTTTTCTTCTGATAATGATGATACTCTAGAAATCAATGTTTTAACAAAAGAATTAGATATTCTTTTTGAAGCAATTAATTCTATTCATAATCCTTAGAAAAAGAAAAGTTTTCTCAATAAACTCAAAGATGTTTTGGAAACAAAACCAAAATCAAAAGAGCTTATTACAACAAATAAGTTTGATGTAAATAGCATTTTCAAAAGATTAGAGAATAATTCTATAAAACCAACCATTATTCAGGATCTTCAGATTGAGATTAACAATCTTAAAAGGGAGATTTGTGAGATCAAAGAACAACTACAAATTTATCAAG